AAGCACTGTCTGACGCGTCTGCCTCCGCGACCCGAAAGGAGAAACGGCGATGGAAGATGAAGATGAAGATGAACTTTTCTTTCTCGACTTATGGCGTTTCGATTTAAGTCGCTGACTTCTGAACCACCGTAACCGGGGTATTACTGTATATGCAGGTACTTTTCTAACCTCACTGAATTAAAGCATCGCCGGCATTAACTGGTGCGTATCTTTTCAGAAAACAGAAGCTGTGATTGGCTGCACAACAAAGATCTGTGAGTTTATTGGGAGCCTTGATTCTTTGGTTTATCAAATAATGCTGCCATTTTACTTCTAGTTGAAACGCCAAAACAAGTGATTTGTAACTTTCATGTGTTGCAAGCAAAGAGGTTTGCAGACCGTTGGGCGTCAATTACCTTTCATCCATGATGGTGATGACATAAATACACAGATAAGTACACACTTCACCGGTTTCTGTACTAAAGACCGAATTGTTTATATTGTAGACTGCTGATAGAACCAAGCAACACATGTTAACAATTTATTGCCAACGCGTTTAGCCAAATACGAATTAGCATAATCAGATAAGCTGATAATGATGGTGCGTTAGCAGTGAAACGCGTTGGCAATAAATTTTTATAATCTGTTTGGTGCCCTCAACTATAAATCGACAAACAATCTACAATTTCAACAATGGCCCTAAAATAGAAATATTTTCAATAACATTTTTCTTTATTTTCCAAGTATCATCCATTAAACATTTTCCTGATATTGCTTTGGTCTAGCCCATGAGTTTTCATCTATTCAGAAGGTAGACGACATGATGAAATGTATTCACCCTTACTTTGGCTGGGGATTAATATAGACGGAAAACGTTGAAACCTCTAAGATACCAAGGTGCCGTTAAAACCTCGTTCAAAGACTCCACTGTACGTTCCTTCAATCTTTGCGCCTAGGGTAAACCTAATACACCGAGTTTCCTGCTTAATGTCTCGAATTTAATATCAGCATTAAATCTGAAGGGAAGGCGAAACATTAATGTAATCTCGAAACTTTAAAAACGTGAAAGTCTGATCATTATTCAAAATTTTATGACTTCGAAAATTAAGCATCTAATTTTATGAATTAATCTTCATTACTCTATTATTTTATTGATCCGTCCGCAGTGATGACTTTTCACACTTACGCTTACCTCGACCATAACACAGAAGCCACGTATCGTCGGTCAATTCTACGAGGGCGTTTTCCAGAGAAGCGAAACGGGCGTGAGAACCAGGCAGAAATTCTTCTTTCCGCAAACCTGAACTATCCGTCAAACGCTGCATGCTGCCACTGAGAACAGTACAACTTTGATTCATCCAGTGGATGCCTAGAATAAAAAGTTTACTACCTACGATTTTCGGCAGTGGCACATACATCAATAGAGGATACAAACAATAATTCAAAAGCCACCTCAACGGAGGCAAAGATTTCGACAATTCACCGAAAACGTCCGTTTGCGTTTGTTATCATGGCATGCTTAGCAGCTCTAGTGATGTAGCATATCGTTGACCTCCATGACATTCGAGTAACAAGCTAGTAACTAACAAGGGCCCTTCCACCTACCATTTTCAGAATTCGTACACTTGGTCCCGATATCTTTTGCAGGTTGGGTCACGCTGGAAACATCTGTCACTGATTTGACCACCCTCACGTAGACGCCGCCCAAAGAAGACAATGGAATGTTTCACTTCAAGAGGTCGCCGAAGAATATACCCTCAAGACAACGCAGCCGGCGCTTTTCGATAACAGTTTCAATTTCTGCAACACTGGCGGCTGCGGATCTCTGAGTTCAACGCTTTATCGATGGGACGCACTCGCAGGAGCAGAGGAAACAACGGCAGAACACTTCAAACTTCTTGATGTCCTTCCCGCAGAACGGCAACATTTCACAAGCATAGAGCAAAGTTGATCTACTGGTAGTTTGCAGGACGCGCACTTTCGTTTCAAGGCCGATTTTTCGACGCCCCTACAGTTTGGCGTAGATGTAAAAGTACTCGCTGTATAGGGTTAAAACAAAAGGTTTCCTGGAAATTTCAGTTCATTTCGATGTGGATGGATTACCACTCTGAGTGGCAGCTTATGCAGCAATAAACTATGTTAGATCACCGACATTGCAAAACTTTACAGAGCCGTGGCTTGCAAAAATATCAATCCCAGGTCTTTAAAGACAGAGATCGGTACCCCAATGTCACAATAACCTGTTTGGGCGAATTTACTTATTACGATGGTACAGAGTCTCAAGGACTAAACTTTCCGACTCAATAATTGGAGGCACAAAATCCTTAATCGAAGATTAACATTTCAGACAACAGCAGAACCGTCTATCATAAAAGTAACAGCAAGTGCAGGCGAAACAGTAGCAGAATATTTTACAAAATATAAGGACATGAAATACTTATAGAATGCACTATAAAACCGGAAAACCACCCATTAGTTGTGCTGATACATTTTCGGATTGTCATTATCCACACACGTCAAAGTTATAAACCTCTCGACTTTTTCAATGTAAACGGCTCTGGACACCCCTTTCAATCCATTATTTCGGCTTCCGGTACATAAAACTTTCAACGCAGTGTGCCGTGAAAAATTCCCTGATGATCGCTTCTGTAAAGGAACCTGAAACAACGGAAGAGAAGAGTTATCTTGTGTTACGCTCTATGCCGCTTGCACTGAGAAAGTGGAGGAATGTGCTGATTTATGTTCATTAACATTTTCTGGCGTTTCTTGGTCCGATCACTGTGTCGAGGCAAGGTCAGGTGTCGCTGAGCGCGTACATGGGTTTCAGACAACGGAATATCGTATTAGGATTAGCTGCGAAATAAGCGGAGAACTCGACGAATAAGTAGTCGCGGACAACGCAAGTGCTACGAGGGTGCGGCTAGTCAACTTTGGCAAAGTTGGTGTTAGAAAATACCGCATGACTCGATGACAGCGCAATGATATGGCGAGTACTGCTACCATCAAATAAGCATCCTGCTAAATCTCCTGGCGTAGCCGGATCCAAGCCCGGTTGAGAAAGAGAGGATGACGTTAGGCAATGAGCCGGCCTTAAAAACCAATGCCAAAGCCAAATATGACGAGTCAACTTACCTCTAGAAAGAATTCTAAGGCGTTCCCCACAGGCGACGCGAAGCAGCAAATCCCGGCGGTTGTGAGAATTGAGCAAGGCTACCAGCTATTGCGACGAAGGGCAACCACAAAGAGAGAGACTCACGTGCCGAAAACGAAGTGAGAAAATGCGATTAGCTACTTGGAACATTAGAACAATGACGGGAAAGGGCATGGAACTAGCGGAGGATCTTCAGAAAAGAAAAGTTCAGATCGCTTGTACTAAGGAGACGAAATGGAAAAGTGAGAAGCCGAAAAAGATTGGCTAGGCTATGACCCAATTTGCTGTGGAACATCAAGCAAAACAAACGTACTGGAGTAGTACTGAGTGAAGCAATCAAACACAGGATATTCGTATTCAACCGAATTAACGAGAGAATATGAAGGTTAAGCTGACTTCGAAAAGTAGTACCCTCGAAATAAAAAGTGCCTACGTCCCTCAGAACTGGTCAGAATGGAACCAAAAAGTCGACATTCTGGGAAAGCCTAGACACTGCACTGTAAAACCGCGAAGCAAAAAATTGGTAATCGGGGTGATCTTAACAGACACGTTAAGAAACATCGAAGGAATAACGACAGGACTCACGGCGTACAAGGACATGGCATGTTAAATAAAGGAGAGGACATCTTGCAGGTGGCAGTTACATATGATCTGACTCTTATAAGCACGTTCTTCCAGAAAAGAGAAAACTACCTGATATGCAGGCAGAAGAAAAGTCAGATAGACTACTTCGTGCTCATAAGGAACGAACTGAAGAACGTCAGAGATTGCAAAATTATCCCGCGGGAAACTGCCGTAATTCTGCATCAGCTACTGGCCCCGTACTTTCTCTCTGAAAGGCCATTCACGCGGTGGCCAAATGCAGTGCTGGAAGCTCAAAGGGAAGCCGAAAGAAGCATTCAAAATGGAATTTACGAGAAAAATTAAGAAAGACTGAGACAAAAAAAGCGAAAGAAGGATGAGAGCGGATGGCCAGCATAATCATAGGGAATGCCATATGTCTAGTTGGAGAAAAAAAATGTATATCACATATCCAGGGAGAAACATCATGGTGGAATGCGGTTGTGCAGATGACCCTAAGACAGAAAAAGGAACTGTTCAAGAAACAGCAACTATCAAACAGCACGAAAAATAAAATAAAGTATTCTATAGCGAAGTTGGAAGCAAAGAAACAAAGCAAAGCCAAAAGCGGCAACAAAGCAAAGGGTGAAAGATATCTACATATCTGTCTATATATAGGAAAAGCCATAGAAAGAACATGACATGCCGACAGTGAAGTGCATGAACGACGAATAGAGTGGCGTTGACTGACGAGAAAAATATTCGCAACCGATAGCGCCTACACCTACAAACGTTACTAAACAAGAACATTCCAGAGAGACTTCAGAAGAGGTCCCGCGAAACCAGGCATTAGTTGAAAAAATCTCAATGAACGAAGGGGAGTAAGTACTGAGTAAAATGAAAAATAAAAAGGCCCTTGGCCCAGACGTAGTTCCTTTAGAAACATGAAAGATACTGGAGCAAGAAAGAGTGGCTCAGCAATGCACACTTTAATAAAATTATGGAATGTGAAAAACTGCTGCAATGACAGATGAACGGTATTTTGACTCCTGTGTACAAAATGAAAAGATATATGCTTGCCTGTAAAAACTATCAAATAATTTAACAGCTCAGCTACAACAAGAACCTGTAGAAAAAAAATGCTGGATAAAAAACTTACGAAGGAGGCCGATCACCGGGAATAGTTTGGCTTTATGCCAGATAGGTCAACCAAGGACCCCATTTTTGCTTCAAGATAAATCCTGGAAATATAAAAAAGGCAGCAAGGACAAGGACAGATATACGATGTTTCTAGACTTAAAGAAAGCTTTTGGTGGAATTCCGAGGCAGACAATCTTGTGGAGCATGAGAAAGAAATGTGCCACAAAAATGCCAGACTTACCGAAGAGATGTACGACAGAATGACAACGATAATTCGACGTATAGGAAGAATTACTTATGCTGATACGAGTAAAATCAAGGTTCAACAATGAACCCAATCACGAATTTGATTCGCAAAATCGAGTCGACGTAAAAAAATTTTCATTCGAATTTACATTGCATTGTTGGCTAAGATTCTGGTCAAGCAATTTAGCAACGTTTTGTTTGTAGATTATGGGCCAAGCGTGAAACAATGGCAATGTTCGCCAGTTGGATATAAGTGCCTTCAAGCAGACGTTTGTGCCCAGCCCTGATGATGATACGGTCTGTGTAGTGAAACGCGCTGGCAATAAAACTTTCACAGTCTGTTGCGTTTGATGCCCTGAATTATGATTCGTTCAACTACCTGCCTATATGAGCCCATTTCCGTTCCTGATGGCCATAAACGCAAGAAGCAAAGATCTGAAAGAAGCATCCCATACTGCATGGTCTGTGCAGATGCAGATGACGTATGTTAAGCGACAAATGCAAAGAAGCAGCACAAACAAAAACAGGCTCGAAGAAGAGTCTTCGAGAAGTACGGCCTACGGCTCAAAAAAGGCAAGTCAGAATATATGGCGGGCTGTTTCAGTGGGAAGAATGGACTTAAAGCCGTGACAGTGACAGCAGAGGGCAACGCGCTACTTCACACTCAAGAATTAAACTACCTTGGTTCTATCTAGCAAGATAATGCGGAAATTGACAGCGAGGTAAAAAATCGGTCGAAAAAAGCTTGACTCAAATGGAGGGAAGTTAGCGGAGTACTGTGCGACAAGATGTCCATAAAACTGAAAGGGAAGTTGTACATCACGATATCAAGACCGGAGCGGAATGTTTCGCTACTCTGAGGGGACACGAGCAATCACTGGACTTGGGAGAAATGCGAATGCACAGATTAACGTGCGGAATCAGCAAAAAAGACCATATTCGGGAAAGCTTCTTAAGAGGTTCCTTAGGCGAAGCACGAGTTCAAAAAGGATGATCAAAAAACAGGCTCCGTAGGTTCGGTCACGTGAAAACAAGACCCATCGAATACGTTGGACATGTGGTACAAGCACTGATTCTGCCAGGGAAGAAAAAAGGGGAAAACCAAAGAATAGGTGTCATCAAGAACGATATGAAACTGAGAGGAGTGATCGAATATTTAATCAAAGATCGAAAAATGTGGAGGCAGCTGACTTTAACAGCGGATCTCTATTAGAGGGAACGCGCTAGGAAAAAGAAAATTTGACGGCATTTGAATCTATTTTTTGACATCCGATATATCGAAAAATAAGAAATATCGTTAAAGTATCGTTGGTTTTAACAAGAAAATGGATGCGATACGTTTAATAGTTTCGGATCCACCGCGTAACTTTACCGAACTTTCAACTGCACTGTTCTTAGCAGTACTTTGACGAAACTATTGACATATACCTACTATTCCAAAGATGCAGGTTATTCAGTGTTTGCAATACAAGATAGGCACATAAAAATGCACTAGCATGCAAGAAAAAACCGACATAAGCCCTACGCAATAGAAATTTAATTTGCTTAAAAATCGATAATTGAAAATGAGAACCTCACTCTCAAAAGGGAAGCGCCTCACATTGGTTCGGTTAATGATTTTCAAGAAACGCGTATTTAACACGCTGAACAGAGTCATGAAACATGTGGGGTGGAAAACATGCGATTCAAGTCTTTACGAGGATGGTATCATCAACATAAAAGTGACACAATGGAAGATGTAAAAAAGAGCATTAAAATCGAACATGCTGAGGCGTCGCTGCGAACGAACTCAATATTTAAGAGGCATGTATAATTGCTTTTTCCAGGTACATTTTTGAAAGTTTCCACTTGACGATAAATCGAAGTGCACGATGAAA